CCCCCCCCCCCAATTTTTTTTTTCTTATTATGGATTATATAGCATTTTAATTGATTTTTCCCCTCTTCTTTTGGTGCTGCGTCTAGGATATTTTCTAATACAATAGTTATTTGGCTGAGGTTACTATATGGTGCATGTGATTCTTAATATTGGTTTAAATGTTCATGAGAAAATGCTTGATATTACAATTTGTTTTTATTTGGCAAAAGAAACAGGCTGCTTTTTTTACATAGATGCTGATCATTAATAATCACTTCAAAATGCTAGCTTCACTATATGCCTAATTTAAACTACTTAGCATCCATATTCTGATGAGCCTTTTAAAAGCATTACCTACTTGGTTAGTTACTCTCTGAAATTGTTTTCTGTAAGTTTGGTGATGAAATTATCTGTTCGGGGAATAGATCCTATTTTTGAGGCATGAAGTGGAGGAAATTATATTAGTGTACTGCATTCGTCTTTTTCTTTGAGAAATGTGAAATTTAGGAGGAATACAAGATCAAGAGGAGGGGAGGCACTCCTTTAGGTGGATTAGCCAGTCTTTTACGTTGGTCTTTCTATACCAGTATACTGAATCCTACCCAGACAGTGTGAGGCAGTACGGTTCTGAAGGAGGTCAATTTTTCTAATTTGACAGCTACTTGGAGTGCCATATTTACGGATGAGAATTTTAGGAAGCAAAGAGGAATGCTTGTCAGTCTTGTGCAAAGAAATGGGAGAGGATGTTGAAGATTCTCATCCGTGGTGAATGGAACTTGTGCTGAATCCTTTGGCCATGGCTAGGTAATGCCAAATTCTCTGGAGGCATTATTTGGGCCCTGAAAGCAGAAGAGGGGTGAGGAGGAGAACTTGGGAAATCACTCCTTGAGCAGTTATGTGGATCACGTGAACGGAAAGAGATTGAGTTGACATGAAGATACTCTGCTAAGTATGAAGATAATTTTCTGAATCCATTTCCATATTAAATCCAATAGTTATAAGCTAAAAGACAATTTCTCCGCTCACATTTTCATTCTGCGAAGCTGGATGGAGGTGGTTAATTGTGTGCCCCCACCCTTTGTTAGCCAATCATTGAGAAGAATATTGGCCCTTCACCCCCCACCCCACCCCTCATCCCTCCAGCTTTACTCCAACTATTCATGTTATAAATCGTGTAAAGTCTGTAGTCTTTCTCCTGCTCGTAAGCATACAAACAGCATATCTGTTGATGAAGTTCAATAAAAAAATTGTTACTTTGGTTTCAGAGTTTTTGAAGGCCAAATGTCTAATGAATTGTGAAGTCGCGTTGATTCTTGAACACAAGTACGAGCAGCTTCAACAGATGTCTGAAGATCCAACGAATCAGATTTCACAGTATGTGTATAAATCTAGATGCCCAGGATATGTCAGTAAATGCTCAGACTTTGCCATGCTTCAGTAGATTCTTTAAAATGCAAACTGGATTATCTGATATGAAATAGTTGGTATTCTGTGCTTGGCTGAGATTCCTAGAGAATCATTTTTTGGTTTAGGTTCTTTACTCTTTTGGTATACGGATATACCTCTTGTATCGGTTCTATCCACACATCACATCAGTAAAAGTATTAGTTCATAAGAAAATGGGTAATCTGCTCCTTTCACAATGTGTCTGTGACAAGTTGTAAATGTCCTCCTTCATATCACTGTTAACAACCACTTTGTGGAATTTTCATGTTCATATTTACGGCAAAATGCAATGAGATTTTCTTAAGGGAAACTATGCTACCCTGATGTTGAAATCAGGGGCGGCTCGACATAATATGGGGCCTAAAGCGAAAATAAAAAGTGAGGCCTTAAAATTTTTAATTTTTTTTTCTCGTACTCCCTCCCTTTCAATTTTGATGAGGTAGTTTGACTCGGCACAGAGTTTAAGAAAAAAAGAAGACTTTTGAAACTTGTGGTCTTAAAGGCATAAGGATAAAAGTTTTGTGGGGTCATGACATTTTTGTGGTTATAAAAGTTTCTCATTAAGGGTAACATGGGTAAAATGAAAAGTTTAAAGTTGAATTATTTCCAAATTTAGAAATGTGTCATTTATTTTGGAACAGACTAAAAAGGAAAGTACCTCGTCTAATTTGAAACGGAGGGAGTATAATTTATCGAAATCTAAAGAAGTTATAATCAGTTTTAATTATTGTCAATGTCTAACCAATTTGTTTAATCTCTCTTGTGTTATCATGTTGAACTTTATTGATTTAGTTTTGAAAAACTTTTTCAATCGAGGCAACTGATATAGTAATTGTAACGGTAATTGAATTAACACTTTTTACCTGATTGAGTTTGCCAATTAGAGTATTCTTCTACTTATACAGTTTCTCTTAGCACTTTTAATTCTAAATATAAGTTGAAACAAATGATACTGTAGTAACTACTATATTTCAAGATTCATTCAATGTTAAGGACGAATTTTAATAGTTACTTATCAATGTAGCTTGAAAAATGTCTACAAAGGCACTCAAAGAATTAAGAAAAGTTGTTCTAAACTAACATTGTAAGAAGATCAATTTAAGTTGGGACGAATTAAAGACATGAAACAGCTAGTAACAACAATTTAAGATGTGTAAAACTTTTAGCTATAACTATTTAACCAAATGATTTAAAAATTCTATCAATAGTGCATAATTTAATATTATTTATAAATTTTGGGGAAGTATTTTGGGGGCCTAAGGCCATTGCCTTAGTGGCCTTAGGCTCCAGCCGGCCCTGGTTGAAATATGCTCTCTCTGTCTCTCTCTCTCTCTCCCCCCCTTTTAGAAAGGAGGCAAGAATCTAATGAAGTGGTTTACGCTTTCGACGTCTAAATATGTGTGGAGAGATAATATGTGCTTAGCTATTACATTCTCAAGTTTGGTTAATTGGTTACCTTTGTCGTCTAGGGTATTTGAAAAGTCACTGCAATATGTGAAGCGTTTCAGTCGGTACAAGAACCCTGATGCTGTTAGACAAGCTCGAGAGTATCCTCCTACCTGTGGCTTATCGTGAAAAAACTTCAGTATATCTCTTTTTGACATTCATGCATTTGTGAAAATACAAGAACCAGTCCTTTCATAGAATGTAAATCTTAACCTCAATTCAGGATCCTTAGTAGGTATCCACTTGCTGAATTCGAGGTAAGTATCTGTCTTTTTAATTTTTTGGAATTACTTTATCCTCGTACTTCTGTTATATCTTCACGGAAACTCTAGTTTATAGTTTATAAGTTTGAATGTTGTGCAGCTCTGTGTTCTGGGGAATCTTTGCCCAGAGACTGTTGAGGAAGGTATTGCCATGGTCCCATCCATCAAGGTACTCACGTGTCATTTCATTCAATGTTAGTAGATATTTAGTCAATCTTTCAAGATAAAACAATACTCTTTCTCTCTACCCCTCCACTGCCTGGTTTTGTTACCCAGTCTATTTCTGAACTATTGCCTTTAGTTTTTCTGAAGAGTGAAGCCCAGGATCATTGTTTAAAACTCAAATCACCATGACCAAGCATGACAGATAATTGAGCTAGAAATAATGACCTGCTGATTCAAATTTGTCATCATGTTTATTTAAGCCAGACAGCTTGTCAACGTAATGTGTTTTTTGGGTTAATAACTAGTTAAAAATATATGAATTAGTATTTGACATGAGATGTGTGAAGTTTAAGAAAAAAGGATCACGACAAGGACTTGGAAGTGTTATGAAGCCATGTCAAATCACTATAAATCTGCGTTTCACGTCTTAAACATTTTGGGAGTGGTTTCCTTGGTGTATTTCATTGCCTAGCTTTCAACTGCATGCACTTCTGGCTTGTGTGAAAATAATGTCTGGTTTCTCACCACATTTGGTGCTGTTCTGTAGTAATTCATCTGATAGAAAACTCCAGATTCTAACATAAGAATTATAGGATTGCAGATATCTAGAGTTGTAGTAATTTCAGAATTTTATCAACTTAAAGAACACAACCAAAGTGCTTGAGATGGGCTTAAACAATTTCTACACCAATAAGGGGGCTTTTGATTGTCTTACTAAGGGATTAACGTTCAAGAGTTTTTACATTTTGTGGCTGGTTTTGAAATTCTGATCTGTTAGTTTCACTGTGTATTATTTGGTGTTTGAGGCATAGCATCAACCTTATTTAGAGCTGCTTGTACGTCCTGTGTGCGGTCCTAATATTGGTTCACCAGAAGGCTGAAGGATCTTTAGAAAAATGAGCTTTGGTTCAGAGTCAAATCCAAAATTTTTTCATTTTCCTCAATTGTTATCTAGCAGTAAATCTTCTTATTTCTCTTTATCAAACTCGGGCTAACGGACATCCTTCCTGTGTTTACAGAATAGGGGACGCGCACTTGACGAGGAAGCAATCGAGAAAATGCTGACTGACCTCTCTCTAATTAAGAAATTCGAGTAGTCTCATTTAGCTTCTATGTCTGTACTTTTGGCGACCAGGTGTGTATTGCAAATGGCGCTCTGGCATTCTGTTGAAATTTTATAGCTGATAGATGAAGAGAGAAAAGACCAAACGACTCTGTTCTCTCTGGACATTTTATTCTTTTGGAAGCTGGTTTTAGAACAATCCTGTGGTTTCAGAGACCAACCCGTTGTTATTTACATTAAACTATACAAGGTTCTCTGTTTTTGTTTTTGTGTGAGACAAATTAAAGTGTGCTTCTAAAATTCTCTCCTTTCTATTGTTGAGCACATTGGTTGTGCTATACATGTTGGCGTCGCTATTGATCACCCAATCAACATACAAAAAGCTTATTGGAACATTAACATACTAGGTCCTTTCAGATATCTTGGAAGGCATCTAGAACAAGTTGCGTAAGTCAAACTCCATCAAGTAACTGCGTATTGGAAAAACACAGAGCATTATATATGTTCATCTTGCCCTTCAAAATAACAAAAGAAAAAGTAAGAGTAAACACCACTTGATTTGCCACCCGTTTTATCTGCCTTTTTGTGTAATCACTTGCAAGCCAATACACAAAACTCTAGATAAAAAACTTAGCAAGAAAAAAGATGAAATCATAAAAAGCTTCTACAAGATAAAGTTCTAGTGCGTACAAAGATAGGAAGGCTCCTTGTGTGATCACAACTCACAAGTCATACATCTAAACATTACAGAAGGCAGCTCGAAAAATATTAATCAAAATATACATAAACGTTAACTCAAAACTGTGTTAAAAGTGAACTTGCAGTGCTACTGGATCCAAAAAAGATTTGGTCAAGTAACTGTCCAACAATTTGAAGATTACAAAGGAGGGTTCATGTAAGATTAAAGAAAACAGTTGTATTCATCAGCACTATCTAGAATGGGCCGATTTACATCTATATTATCATACATATATACGGCTTGGACCAAATGATGACATCTATCCCTCCTATTTTATTGAAGCAGGCTACATTCAGTGTTGCACTTCAAAGTATTAGGATTTACCACAGATCCAATAAGATGCAAACCATATATCATTGGTGTTTCACCTGATAGATGAAGAGAGAAAAACCATATAAAATTCATTGTAATAGACAGATAGTGTTGTTTATCCACACAATA